TAATTCCATTACCTCTACTAGCCATATTGTTAACAATACTTCCTAAGGTTCACACGACTTTATTCTCTAAGATGTCTGTCTCTAGATCAGTAACCACACCGTCATGGTTATCAGTGATAGTAAAATCCTTCTTGCATAGTTCTATGTCTTCTTCCCACCTATTCTTAATATCTTCTTCTGTTATGTTTCTGCCATTTTTTTTTCTTTTATCATGCCCATTTTTGCATGAAACATTCCCTTGATATCTCTATTTTTCTTGAAGAGATCTCTAGTCTTTCCTATTCTATTATTCTCTTCTATTTCTTTGCATTGCTATTTAAGAAACCCTACTATTTCCTGCTATTCTCTGGAGTTCTGCATTCAGTTTGGTAAATCTTTCCCTTTCTCTTTTACATTTTGCTTTTTGAATGGTTTGCCTTGGATTAGAACAGGTTATTCTCTCATTTTCAAGATTATACTGCTTTTATCAGCCATTTATTTTCTATGAGGGCTAGTCTATTTTTTTTCTAGAAGAATTCTTGCCCACAGTGGTATATGTAATAATCACCTGAATTAAATCCACCCATTTCTATCTATCTAAGTTCACTGACACCTAAGATACAGATATTTAACCTTTCCATCTCCCACTTGACCACAGCTAGCTTACTTGGGTTCACAGACCTGACATTCCAAGTTCCTATGCAATACTTATCTTTATGGCATCAGACTTTCCTTTTGTCACCAGGCACATCCACAGCTGAACTTCCTTATGGCTTTGGCACCGCTGTTTCATTCTTTCTGGAGCTACTTGTAATTGTTTTCTGCTCTTCCCCAGTAACATATTGGACACCTTCCAACGTGAAGGTCTCATCTTCTGGTGTCATATCTTTTATTATTTTAACACTGTCCATGGGATTTTCTTGGCAAAGATACTGAAGTGGTTTAGCATTTCCTTCTGCAGTGGATTACCTTTTATCAGAGCTGTCCACTATGACCTGTCCACAGTGTGTAACTTTCATGGCATAGCTCATAGTTTCATTCAGCTATGTAATACCCTCTGTTATGACAAGGCAATGATCCAGGAAGGGCTCTGAACTTAAGGGTGCCTATATCCATCAAAGAACCTAATCCGTAGGCCTTCTGATGGAATGCTTTGCTTGGAGCTCAGAGACTGAAAACCAAATGCTTATTACATACTTATTAATCTTTGTGATGTGACTCATCCCCTGCCAACTTGGAAAGTGCAGACAACAAATATGAGTACAACTTAGCCTAGATTGTTTGAATACTGATTATCCTGTCTGAGAATCTTGGGCAGAACCCTATCTCCACTACCACCAGCTCCCCTGATTCAGGAGTGACCAGCTTGGAACCTCATGCCATTGCTTTCCAGATCAACTGTAGGCTCATTTACCACAGAGCTCAGGAGATTAGGGAACATTTGACCTGAGCTCCAAATGAAGTTAGGAATTATATGAGATGGGAACAAGTTTCTGGGTATGGAATTTAGAAAACTTTTTCATTTTCTTGTGGCAGGTAAATTTCTAGCTTAGTGTTGTTCCTTTGTGATTTAGCATTTCATCTAAAGAAGTAAAAAGTTCTTTCTGTTGCTTGTCATTGTACACCCAGTTGGAAGAGTCAAGGCTGGAGGTGCACCAGGACTCTCGCCTGCAGAAGACTTTAAGCTTGAATGCAGAGGTTATTTTTTTGGTATGGATATCCCCATTGTTTAGTACTGTGTCTTGGAAATAGGAAATACTCAATAAATGTTTAATCAATTTAATTGAAATTGCTGAAAGCCACATTTAGAAGGGGAACAAAAACCCTTTTCAACATTTAGACTTACTTTGAAAAGAGAGTCTAAAAATTAGAAGGCATCTCAAATGCCATCTGAATTCAGTCTCAGCAGGTTTTCTCTCTCTGCAGGTCTTCAAGCAAAAGGCTAGATGACTACTTCTTGGGGTTGGTTGGGCAGAGGAATTTCTTGGTCATATTCAGGATGGCCAATGAATTACTTATCATAAGGGAAAGAAGCTATATAATCATCTAGAATTTACCAGAAAGAATTTTTAAAGAAAATTTGTTTGCAGACCTTCAAACCACAAAACTATGATAAACATAGTCATTCTGAAATTCTTTAAATATTAACCTAAGTGGTTAGTATATCTGAAGAGGCTTGCTTTTAGCAGAAACCTGGTCTTCCTATTTGAGTAATTCACTTTTTCTCAAGAATTTTACATTCCAACTCTTACAGAGTATTTACTTGTACATGAGTCACCCTCCCCGCATGAATTCCTTCCCAATTATGAAAAGGAAATCAAGAAATTTGTATTCCTAGAATAATTTCCTTCCACTCCATTTTTTTGTTCTGCTTTGAAATAGCATCCAGGGCTACCAGCAGAGGCTCCTCTGGGGATTGGAGACCATCAATCTGCTTGATAGCTCGGGGCAGAGTGCTTTCCTTAAGGAACACTTGGTGAATAAAATGCAATGAGCTTTATCCTCATCAGGGAGGATCTAGGGTTACATTAAAGGCATAGCAAGCTATTTAATGCAGTCTGAACCATGAGTTGGGTAGAAAGTCAGCCCTCTCCCTTCTACACAGATGGATATGTATTTAATCCCTTCTCATGGTCCTTCAAATTTTGACACTGAAGTCAGCTGATATTGGACCTTGGTAACTGTTACTGAGTAAGCTCAAGTAGGAAACAATTTTTTTTTTTTTACCATTCCAAGAGACACTAGAACAGTGAGTTATTGTAGCAAATGCCTGGTATCTCCCTTCTAAATCAAAGAAGTTTAGGGGGAACTTAAGCTATTTAAAAAAAATAGAGAGGTTTTGTTACTTCCATTTCTAGTAGACTGTATAACTCCCAAACCAAAAAAATTAAAAGGAATCTAATCATCACTTTTCAATGAATTTTGTGCTTTTTAATTTCAGTTCTCCCTTGCTCTCACAAACATAATGGTATACACATACTGACATGTTAACTTTTGAAGCTTTCATTGTAATTCTTTGATTAAAGCCTCTTCTGATTAAAGATGAATGATTAGGGTCTCTAACTTGACTAATTCGCGTTTCACAGCCTCCACAACTTTGAAATTAATATAATAGGCAGAAGAGGAATAGAATTATGCAAGCAAAAGTGAAATCATTGTTCATATAAGATTTATTGTCCTTATTTACATAGAATCATAGAATATAATATTGATTTGGGGCTATGTATCTTTTGGGGAATCTTTCATAATGAACCTACATTTTAAAGTAATACAGCAAAACTGTCTAAAAATAACAAAATTCATTTGGAAAAACAAAAAGTCAAGAATATCAAAAGAAATAATAAAAACATGTAAAGGAAGGAGGTTTAGCAGCACCAGATCTTAAACTGTATTATGAGGCAGTAATTATCAAAATTATCTGGTGCACGCTAAGGAATAGAAAAGTATATCAATGGAATACAGTAGACATAAAATTAAAAGCAGCAAATAAACATGATAACTTTGTATTTGTCAAGTGTAAAGACTTAAGATTTTGGGATAAGAATACATTATTTAATAAAAATTGTTGGGAAAACTGGAAAGCAGTATTGCAGTTGGTGTGGACCAATAACTCACATCATTTACCAGGATTAAGGCCAAAACGGATACATGACTAGATATAAAGAGAAATTTTGCAAGGAAATTTGAACATATTACTTATCAAATTTATGGATAGGTGAACAACTTATGAATAAGCAAGAGATATAGAGGAAAATTCCAAAGATGATTAGGGAAAAAGGAAAAGAACCTGTATGTTCTAAAATGTTTATAGTAGCTCTCTTTGCAGTGGTAAAGAACTGGAAATTGCCGGGATGCCAATCAATTGGGGAATGGTTGTACAAGTTGTAGTATATGATTGTGATGGAATACTACTGTGTTATAATAAATGAAAAGCTCAATGATTTTAGAAAAACATGGAAAGATTTGCATGAAATAATGAAGAATGGGGGGGCAGCTAGGTGGCGCAGTGGATAGAACATTGGCCCTGGATTCAGGAGGACCTGAATTCAAATGTGACCTCAAACACAAAACACTCACTAGCTGTGTGACCTCGGGCAAGTCACTTAACCCCATTGCCTAGCCAAAAAAAAAAAAAAAAGAAATAATGAAGAATGAAATGAGCAGAACCAAGATAACATTGTATACGGTAGCAGCAATGTTATTTTAAGAACAACTTTGAGCAAATAAATTATTCTATTATAAATATCCTAATTAACTACAAAGGGTATAAGAAGAAAGATGGTATCTGTGTCCAGAGAAAGAACTGATAAATAGAAGTATGTATAGAATAATAAACAAATATATATATGTGTGTGTGTGTGTGTGTGTGTGTGTGTGTGTGTGTGTGTGTCTGATGGCAGCCAGGAATGCTAGAGAGGGAATAAAAAAGACAGGAAAAAAAATTTACATGATTTTGTTTTATATTTGAAAGGAATGCAAGTTGTGCATAGAAGAGTTGAAGTTTTGTATACTGTTATCTATTTTTATTGTACTACATTATAGAAATGCTTGTTATATTCCATAAATTAAAAAAAGAAGGTGGTTTGACTGGATTATAGAGTACAGGAAGGGGGTAATGTGTAATAATTACATTGTATATAGTCTGAAAATATTTTACATTTGTTTATATATGTGCCTATTCAAGAGGCCCCCTAGTTCAGCTGACATAGACCTGGATTTGTAAGTCAGTAGAACTGGGTTTTCATCCTCATACTACCTGTATAACCTTGGGCAAGCCACTTAGCTTCTTTGGGCCTCAGTTTCCTCAACCACAAAATGAAGAGCTTGGACTAAATTGGAGGTTTCAGTGGCCTGTAAGCTTCATGTGGTCCAAAACACTCACTGGGTCCTGATTCAATTGTAATTGGGTTTTAATTTCAACCATATTAAAATATAATTGGGAAATATTTAACAAAAATAAATAAAAATACAGTAGAGCATAGATAATGTTAATGTGTGGTTTTCTAAATCATGTGGTTTAGTGGCCCTGTTTCTATCTGAGTTTGACGCCACAGATCTGGATAACTTCAAAGATCTCTTCTGTCTCTGTGTCTGTGATTATATGATCTACACAGTAGGATATGAGGTAAGAGACTGGTTATGTTTTTTGTCTTTTTATCTCCAGCATCTAGCACAGTACCTAGTACACACAATATATATCTTTCTTTATAATGGTTCTTAATATATATCTATATATCTATATCTATATATCTATATCTATATCTATATCTTTAATTAAACTGAACTGAACTGAATTGAATTCTGAGTTTGTGGTATTCCATGATTTGAAGCCATGGAGGATCACTGGGAGAATATTGACACCCAAATGATAATCTTTGACAATAAGGAACAAATTGTGGTCTCTGAAAGTGCTACATAATTTATAGTCTGTTACCTTATTCAATTTTGGATACAACTTTGTAGTACTAAGTTAATATAATGTCTCATAAATGTTTAGTCATTCTAAGGACTTTCTAAGGGCAACCAAAGCAAATCATTCTAATGTATTCTGGAATCTCTCTCCCTCTCCCTACACCCCCCAGGGTTTCTATTCTTGTATCTTTGAAGTGACAATGCATCTCATAGTAAAGACTCATACTGTTATAAGGATTGATGCATTAAAAACATCATCCCAAAACAGGGACATTTAGAGGACCTTCCCATTTAAATGAAATCTCTAAACATTTGGATTGTTCTCAGGATATCCTTTGTTATAGTGGCAATAGTTTTTGGTGAGATGAGTCTCCCTGTTTGATAATAATAAATAATAGTTAACATTTACATAGCACTTTAAAGTTCGTAAACCACTTTACATGTATTATATCATTTTGTCCTTACAACCCTCTGACGTAGGTATTATTACATTTCCATTTCACAGGTGAGAAAACTGAGACCAAGAGAGGTTAAGTGACTTGCTCAGGATCACATGTCTTATTTGTTGTCTGAGGATTATGATTTTAATTCAATTCTTGACTCCAAGTCCACTACTCTATCCTCTATTCCACCTAGCTGACTCATACCTCTTTTAATATTAATTGAGGATTATTAAACTAGAGTTAACTCTGGTTGCATTTATCAAGAAATCTTATATGATCTTAAAATGTACGTAGCAGACTCCTTAGAAAATGCCCTTTGAGGATGTGTTTTGTTCTACCAAGTAAGTTTTTGGGCAAGCAGAGGGTAAGACTATTCCTTTATTACCTTAGTTGAAAGGTTTTTTTCCACTTCTTTAAAATATTGTAACCATCTGCATGCTTTACGATAGTGAAATTAGCGTATGTCATATACTATGATCTAGATCAGCTCAGGAGTCTGTTCCAAGGTTCAGGGATGTTCAGAGGTCATGGATAAAGAAGACTTCTCCAAAGTACTGGTGAAAACCAAACAGGTCACAGGAGTTTCGGTGGAGATAAAAAAAAAATAAGCTAAGGCATCTCTGCACATTGGCTTGACAATTCTGGTTGGAGTAGGAAATGGAGGTTGAAGCAAGGGGCTCAACTGCAGCCTAACAAAAAGTCCAACACTGGGTTGCCAGAAGCAGAAAAAGACTGGAAGAAAAAGGGTATGTCTATTAAGCAGCAATTAGAAATGGAGTAGGGTAGCAATAGGATCTCAGTGAGCAAATGGAGGAAGTACACTCATAGATTTAGAACTGGAAGAGACATTTGAGTTCTCCTGGTTTTCATTTTACAGAAAAGGAAAGAGAAGCCCAAAGAGGTCAAAGAACTGACCATGGTTACACACATACTAAGTGACAGAGTAAGATTCTAACACGTGTCTTCTGACTGCAGATGGAGTACTCCTTTGACAGTAAACCAGAGATACAGGAAAAAAAGGAAAACTCAAAGAAGAGGTTCTGGAGTGAGAGGTATTTGCAGATTTTCAAGTTAGTCTTGTCTTTCGGTGCTGGATTGTACCATCCTTTCCCCACCCCAGCTTCTTTTGGCTCAGAAGGTGTTTGAGAGCACATGGACAAAATGGTCCCTTGATTAAGTAAATCAAGGAACTTTATTGAGTCTGATTTAGACGTTAATCTCTTGCTATTAAACTTTTTGTATTTCAACTACTAGAGCTAATGGTCCTTAGAAACACTTTTTCAATTTTTATGAGAACTAAAATATTGTAAAATAATCAGAGCTGACATTTTTATATTGACTTATGGTTTACTAAATCCTTTACATACATTATGTTATCTGCTCCTAGAAATAATGTATAAAACATTTACTATATTCAACAAATGCTAACACCCCATAATAACAAGTTAACAGCGTCAACCCTTGCACATGTTTTTGATTAGCTACTTATTTTCATAGTGTATAATTTGCAATTATGCAAGCAATGTCTTGACAGATGGATCCAACATATTACATAATACAGTAAAATTATTTAAAAAATTATAGGCATTGCTATTGCCCATCAAAATGAATTCCATAGGAAACTTGTTCACCTGAAGTCACTGTTTTGTTTAGCACTCACCAAATGGTTTGGAAAATTCCTAGTTATTTCTCTGTACTTTGGTGGAGTCAGTTTGTTTGCTGACAGAGACGAGTTAACAAATAAGCTTGTTGATGTCTACCCTCAGATATTCAAATGAAACTGAGTTCTCCTTGCTATGGGTTCTCTCTCCAGTGATGCAGGTCATAAACATGCATATTTGTCCTTGGACTCTTGTCCATGTCCTCACATCATTTTGCTGCTGGGGATCCACTGTACATGCTAATGACTGGATTATGCTGTTGCTGATACAATTTTGAGGGTGTTGAAGCATCCATTCTCTGAAGAAGCTGAAGGAGGAGAAGATACCAAAGTTGTAGGAAGAAGTCTCAAATGTGTAACTACTGAAAAATGCAACTGATTACATCGATGATTACGAATATGTGTGTGTATTTATTTATTAATATTCTCTTCATGTTTGTACATGGTGTCTATAGTAAAGGGTATCCTAAAAGGCTTAGTTTGAAGCTCTTAAGTACTTTTAAGCTATTAAATCTATTAAAGTTTCAAACTTCAGTAGGACTTTTGGGATACCCTGTATATGCAGAATTGAATTGAGCTTCCCCTATGCCATTATAATACCCCAAATTTCTCGTGGTTGGAATGTCATCTTAACTTTTTCCACACTCTTCTAAATTCTGATAAATTTTGTTAGGTTGCAAATGATGGCAAATAGTAGGGAAGAGTTAGTCATCTAGGCTTGTGGGAGACCTTGAAGCTTTTCATAGAAAGGGAAAATGTAGCAACAACAACAGTAAGCTTTTAGCTTGCCACATAACTGGTTTAATTGATTGTATCATTGTTTTAGTTCAGAAGGTGGGATTTTCCTGGTTTGTTGAGGGCCCTGATTATGTGATTGCCTGCATAATATTCAAGGATTAATTTGGTTAAATTTAGATGTTTTCACCATCAGGTATATACACACACACACACACACATATATATATATACACACACACATACATATATACACATATGCATGTATATATAAACATACATATACATATATACACATACATATGCATATATGTACATATGTATGTGTATATATGTATGTATATATACATATATGTGTATATATACATATGTATGTATATATAAACATACACATATCTATATATATAATCCTTGAAATATTATAGCACTATTATGTCATTTTCAAATATTACAATGTTACTTCTTTGTTTCCAGTATTCCTTCTTTGAAATTACTAGTATTTCCAATTTTGTGTGGAAAAAACAGATAAAGTGGGCATCTTTTAAAAACCCCGTTTTTAGCCAGAATGCTTCTAATATTTTCCTATTCATATTCCTATTCATAGCTCTTGGTTTTAGACAGACAATTTTCTGTTGTGCTCACACTATCTCTCTATACCTATTATTTTTAAAGGGTTTTTTAAAATTATGAATTATGCTGGTTTTGTCAAAAATCCTTTTTTACACCTGCTTCCAGAGAGGCAATGTGATGTAATAAATACAGAAGTGAACTTGGAACCAGAAAGATACAGATTCATATCCTAACTCTGATATTTAACTGTGTGATGGGCAAGTCACTTAATCTCTTTATCGCTCAGATTTCTTATTTGTTAAACTTGTATCACAATAACTACAATATCTACCTCATAGGAATGCTACTATAGCACAAAGGAGATAATGCATACTAAGCACTAGGTAAATGTAAGCTTTTATCATATATTTACATAAATCACGGATGTTTTGTGTTATTACATCATATGGATAATTTTTCTGATGCTGAACCAGCCTTGCATATCTGTTATGAATTCTGCTTGGTAGTGATGAATAATTATTTAAGGTTTTGCCATATCATATTGCCTATTGCCTGGTATTTTAGTTAACACTTTTGTGTATTGTTTATTAGGAAAAATGTTCTGTAATTTTCTTTAATCTTGTAATGTTTTCCACGGTTAAGATCAAAACCACATCGGCTACACAAAAGGGAACGGATAGTCTTAAACATTCCTTTATTTTTATTTTAATGAATAACATGAATATATGGATAATCTGTTAAAATAACCTGTAAGATAATCTAAGCTAGATGCTGTTATTATAAGGTAGTTAATTAATGACTTACCTTATTTCTACCTCTGATATTGGTCTATTTAATTGATCAATTTCTTGTAGTTTCAGTTTTAATAACTTTTTAAAAAATAATGATTCATTTTATTTAATTTCTCTGATTTATTAGACTTCAGGTGTGTTTATAATATTTACTAATGATTTTTTTTATGTTCAATGTGATCTTTCTATTTCATTTGTCACTTTATTGATGTGTCTTCTTTCCCTTTTCCCTTTTGATTAAGTTTCCTAATGGTTAGTCAATTTTAGCTGTCATTTTGAAATATCTCTTAATATATTAATTTAATTTTAATTTTCTATCATCAATTTTATGTTCTAAATTAGTACTTCCTCTTTTTAAATTTTTTAACTTTTATTCCAATTTTTACCTGGATTCAGGCTTAACTAAATTATTCTATCCATTTCTATCTTATTAATGTGGATAAGTGATACTTTATATTTTCCCCTAACTGCTTTGGCTATAGCCCACATATATTAATAAATAGTATTAGTGTTGTTATCTTTTACGTACTGTATCATTGTTCTGATTTCTTCTTTAACCTAGTTACTATTTAATTGATCAATTAACTAGTTTCAATATAAATATATGCCTTCTATTCATTTTTTGCATATTTCTATTTTATTGAATTTTAGTCTGTAAAAGAAAGTACATATGATATCATCATCTGATAATGGAGCATTGAGGTTCTCTCTACTGGGAGAAAGCAATTTTTGTTTATTCTAGTATTGCTGTTAATCATTCTTTTAGGAATATAGCTATGGCCTATTCAATGGATACAAGTTAAACATTATTTAATATTTTTAAATTAACTATCTTTTATTAATGCATAATACCTTCATCTCTTTTCATGTTATCTAGCTTGAATTTTAATTTATTTTACATAATTATCATCATTCCTGACCTTTTTGAACTTACGATTTTGTGGTATGTTCTGGACTGACATTTTAATTTAAACTTACCAGTGTCATTTTGTTTTAAATCTGTTTCCTAAATGGAATATATTGATGAATGTTGTTTCTTGATCTGTTTGTGAACTTTTTCTTCTAATGAGGATATTCATATTAATCGATATTTAGTTTCATTTGTCTTCTGTAATTTTCTTTTTATTTCTTTTGATATCTTGAGGGAGTGAAATATCAATCTTATATGCCTCCTATCAAAATTATTTTAAAAATCAAACAAAATTTCATTCTTTTAAATTAAAAGTCTTATGATTTCCTAAGCTTTATTCCCTTTGTTCTTAGAGAGGAGTTTTGAGAGGAATCACCTCTCTCCTCCCATTTATCTTCTGTTATAAGTATCTCTCTCTTTCTCTTCCTTCTTCTTCTTCTTCTTCTTCTTCTTCTTCTTCTTCTTCTTCTTCTTCTTTCTCCTTCTTCTCCTTCTTCTCCTTGTCCTCCTCCCCCTCCTCCTCCTCCTCCTCTTCTTCTTTTGTCTTCCTTCTCTTTTTAATTATAATTTACCTTTTAAGTTCAAACCCTAATTTCATTGCCTCTATCATAGCTACAAAAGTGAATGTGCCTTGCAATGCCTTAGCTTGTTTCCCTCTACCCTTCCTTCCTTTGAGACAGGTAGGTGGCATATTGGATAGAGTGCTGGGCTTAGAGTCAGGAAGATCTGAGTTCAAATCTGGGCTCAGGTGCTTACTAGCTGTGTGACCCTAAGCAAGTAACTTAACCCTGCTTGCCTCAGTTTCCTTATATGTAAAATGAGCTGGAGAAGGAAATGGCAAACCATTCCAGTATCTTTGCCAAGAAAACCCCAAATGGGGTCATGAAGAGTCATATATGACTGAACAACAATTTCTTCTTTTCCCCCCTCATCTCATCTCTTCTTGTTTTCTATCTTTTCTTTGTCCTTCTTCCTCTCCTCTTCTTTTTCTCCCCTTTCTTTTAAAATTTTCACAATGAGTATTAATTGATCACATTTTACAATGACACAGTTGACTTAAAGATATTATTAATACAAGATCCCCCCCGTGTGTATTGTTTATTGACTATAAAAAAGCCTCAATTTAACATAATAAAATAGCTAGCACTTATGCAATACTTTAAGGTTTGCAATGCACTTTACAAACATGGTCTCATTCAATTGTCTGGAGAACTCTGAGAGATAGGAATTATTATTATTATTATCCCCCTTTTATAGATGAGAGAACTAAGACTCAGAGAGATTAATTTTTTTCCACAGGATCACGCTTCTAGTGTCTGATGAAGGATACAAACTTAGGTCTTCCTGACTCCAAGTCCATGACTTAATTGATTTTGCCATTTAGCTACTTAGGAAAGTAACCAAAAGCTTTTTTTCCAAAAAGCTGCCTCACATGCATATATTAGAATCATGTAGTATTCCTAAAGAGAGGTAGCAATAAAGATAAATTTTGGCAAAAAAAACCCAACACAGGTAGACATATGCCCATCATAATTGTTTATGATGTCATCATGAAGGCTGTTTAGAAAAGACAAAATGAATAAGAGATTCCCTATATGTGAAGAGGGCCCAAGGCTGTTCCTTTGTGCAGGAGACATTGTACTGATTTCATCAAGTCTTAGAACACTGAAAAGCTGCCCTCATAAGATACATAATCACTCAAAAGAGTTTTTCTTAAGTGTTCATGTGGCAATAGTCAAGTGGATAAAGAATACTTACTGTCCAGAATATGATAAGTAATTCTTGGGCAAATATTGCAAGCAAAAAGTGGACCCTGCCTAGAATTAAGTAGAACAGACTAGATTGTATTTCTCTCTCTCTCTCTCTCTCTCTCCTCTCTCTCTCTCTCTTCTCTCTCTCTCTCTCTCTCTCTCTCTCTCTCTCTCTCGCTTTCGCTCTCGCTCTTGCTCTCACTCTTGCTCTTGCTCTCTCCTTTCTCTCTCCAAATACATAATGTTTTATATGTATGAATTTGCACACATATCTGTATTTTTACACATGTGAAAGCTGCCAATTAGAGTTGGACCTCTTAATAATTGAAAAGGACTCAAATGCATATATTTAGATAGTAAAATTAAATACTCTGTGACAGTGAGCTTCTCAACCAAAATATACACGTTTGCACATATATTCATATGCATATATGCACACTTACATTTACATATGTACATAGCAATATTTGTATAGCCGCATATGAAATTACATGAACAAATCCTTATGCACACATATGCTAGTTTCATTTTGCAGGGTATGTAATTTTAGAATCTGTACCTATGCTTTTG